TACAAGCTAACAGTGGTGCTCAGTGACCAGGCTAACCACGCTAACTGCTAGTAGCGATACAAGCAAACAGTGGTGCTCAGTGACCAGGCTAACTGTTAGTAGCAGTAAAAGTAGTCCCTCACTTATCGTGGGGGTTACGTTCCAGACACCCCTGCTACAGGTGAAAATCTGCAAAGTAGGAACATTTTATTTATTTTAGTGTTCATATGTATTTTAAGGCTTTATAATAATAATATAATAATAATAATCATTTTATTTGAAAAGCGCCTTTCAGGACACCCAAGGACACTTTACAGTAAGAAACATATCAGAGAGATTGTGTAAAAACAAACAAGCACAGTGCAAAGATCATCAGGAATAAATTGAAATATAAAATACTTAAATAATATAAAATACATACAGAATATAAAATACAGCAAAGTTAAGGATAAGAGACTCTAAAGAGATGTGTTTTCAGAGCAGTCTTGAACAGAGAAAGAGAGGTGGTGTTTCTTAAGTCAGGGGGCAGAGAGTTCCAGAGATGAGGAGCAGAGCAGGTGAAGGCCCTGCTCCCCATGGTGGAGAGGAGGGCAGAGGGTACATGGAGGTGTAGTGAAGAGGAGAATCTGAGGGAGCGAGAGGGGATGGAGATGTGTAGGAGGTCAGATAGGTACGGAGGGGCAAGAAACCCTTCCCACATTCTTGCAGTGTTTGTAACAATGTTCTAAACTCTAAACCTACATCATTTTAATAACGTACGTATTGTACAGTACAGTAGTACAGTACAGTACTACTGTACTACTGTACTGTACTGCCATACAGTACAGTAGTACTGTACTGTACTGCAAAAACTTTATATGGGTACTCACCAGCTCTGCAGACCAGCAGCTGCGGGCTCTGTTCTGGTTCTGCAGACCTACCCTGCAGCATGATGAAGCCCACCACCCTGTCCAGGTTGATGTGCGCGTGCTGTGGCTCCAGGAGGGACACTCCGTGCACGAGGCTGCCCAGGATGTCGTCCACCATCTCTGCCCGGTCCGGACCAGCACCGTGGTGACCAGAACCAGGCAGAACCCCGTCCTGTTTGCATGTTGTGCTTGCTCCTTCCATTGCTGCCATTTTGGCAGAAAGCAGTGGCCGGAAGCACTGTTGGCTTCTGGGCCGTGTAGATCTTTTGACTTGCTTATTGAAAGAAAATGTTAGGTTACTTAACGTAACCCGGTTCTTTGGTAACAGAGTGAGGTGCTTCACTATGGGAAACGCTCCAGCGTGACCATCTACGGAAGCTCCAATGACATCACGTCTGTCAAACACAGACCGGTTGAGCTGTGCTCAGGGCTCCGCCCCCACCATGACACCACACCCACTCTGCGATGGTTTCTTTCCGTGCCCTTTCAAGGAGGGAAGTGTTGGTGACTACTGTACAAGCTAATAGTCGTGCTCAATGACCAGGCTAACTGTTATTAGCAATACAAGCTAAAATTTAAGGCAAAAAGGTGTTTTTTTCTGAAGCTATCACAGCGGCCATATTGGATTTTGTGGTCGCAAATCTTTAAATCAGAGTCAGAATTTGCACTTTAGATGGCGTTCCTGTTGAATTTTCTTACTTGGAGCTCAACATTTCATCATCTGAGCACAAATAGAACGCTGATTTCTGCAGCACACCTTGTTTCCTGTTTCTGGTGTTTCTGTGGCAGCGTTAAAGTGCCACTCACAAATACTGATTCAACTGTCTTTATAGTACAAGTAATTTTAATATCTTGTTTTAAATTAGCTACGTTCGTTTTTTACACGTCGTAGTGTTAGTTGCCGACATGAAACCGAACAGCGCCACATGCAGGCCTGGAGGAGTTCGTGCAGCGGTCAGAGAGGTTTTTGTGTGAAGGCACTTCTACAAACGGCGTTGTGTTTACGAGGACGAGACGCTTCAAGCTCTTTATTCCTCCAGCACAAAACATTTGGCTCCACAGCTTCTGGAAAACAAAAAATCAGTTTAGATGATTCAGATTTTCATCTTAATAAAAGAAGCAGCTTTTATTTGAAGGCATGCATGGCGCCTATCACTGTCAGTTTTACACAACTGTTGGCGCTCAGAGTAAGTATTGGGAACCACTCTCTGCTACTACCACTCCAGGTCCCAGTAAAGTGGTTGAACTGAGCTGCAGGTGTGATGGTTGTAACGCTCCACGTCTCCTGCACCGTCAGACTCTCCCACCTCGTTTCTCTGCAGGGTTCTGGTTATTTCTCCTCCGAGCGCCCACGCAGCTTCCTGCGGGGGCAGCGGCGCTCGCGCTGTGCAGACGAGCCGATCAATATTTCAGCTGACTGCGTGTTTGCAGCTTCGCCGTGAATTCTCCTCCTCTTCTTCGGCTCCTGATCAGAGGCGACAGACGTAAAGCTGCCTCCTCGGCTCTTTATGCATCATTAAAACCAAAAAGCTGCAGGTTTGACTCGACATGCCGAACACGTCTGTGCACAAAAACAATCCTCCGTCCTTTTCTCAGGCAGCAGCTGCAGAACGAGCTCCTGATCCTCCGGTTCATCTTCATCATTTCGAGTTAAAGTTCGCTCCGTTCAAACAGTGATTTAAAAACTCTAAAGTCAGCCCAACAATCGGGTTCAAACAACTTGTAAGACCTTTGGAGATCATGTTTGTAACTATTCCACGTTAAAAAAGGAGTTAACGTCTAAAATACAACTGATCACTGAGGCGAACCTCTGCCTCGGGGTCAAAGGTCAGGGAGTAAAGACCTGTTTTTAAATCAGATTCAAAACCAGTGAGGGAGGAAATCCTGCTGGTTTAACTTTCAGTTTGTGTTCACTGGTTTTTGTTTGTTTTGTTGAGGTCGGGGTAAAACGTGCAGCCAGTGTAATCACACTTCAGCGTGTTTTGGGTTTTGTCTCGTCTGTCCGGTCCCGCAGAGTCCCGTCGTTCACCGAACGTCGGGTAACGAGTCGTCGGACTCGAGCGTGGGGCCACACGAACGTTTCAGGTCTGGGTTCGGTTGGCAGGAAGGCGGCCGGGGGTTCTCTCCGTTCGGAGGTTTCCTGTCGGTCGTGCCAGGGGCGTGCACGCATTTGTTTACATGTAAACAAAAACGACACTCAGACGTGTTCCCGCTCATCACGTCAACAAACGCTCTGCTGCTCCTCGTGAGCTTCGGCTGCTGTTTCTGCTGGCAGGAAGCCTTTGTTTGGCAGCGCAGGGTGGGGACGAGTTATGTAATGTTGGTGTGGAACAGATGGAGGAGGGTGTGCCTCACACACACACACACACACACACACTCGATGACATAATCCAATGACCTCCTCCTCGAGAGTTTCCTGGCACGGAGCTGGGAATCTGGGAATCGCAGCCGAACTTCCACCTTCAGCTTCTGTTTGTTCAGAAGCAGCAAAGCTTCGGCTCGTGTTGACCTCCACAGACGCGTGCAAATGTCTTCAGCCTGTCTTTATCTCTTCGGTTCTCCAGGCCTTTTCTTTGGACTTCGGCTGCTTTCTCTCTGTGTCAGTCCCTGCTGACCTGACCTGTAGAGGTTCTGACCCGTCAGTCAAACGGTCTTTAGCTGATTGGACAGCGCCACGTTCAGGTCCGAATGGCCTCGGCTCCCCAGTTTTCTGTAGAAAAGCTGCTTGTCTTTGTTTTGGTGTTTTCAGTTGTGAACGTGAATTACCCCCTTGGATTAATAAAGCATCCATTTGTCTGTCCGTCCATCCGTCCGTCCATCCATCCATCCATCCATCCATCTGTCCATCCGTCCGTCCATCTGTCCATCCGTTCGTCCATCGAGTCTTTGCTCTGATCATTGTTCATCTACAGAGACAAATGTCTCGTGTTAATGTCTAAATGTCTGTGGCTCACTGACGCCTCGGTGTGTTCCTCGTGTTTTTCACCGACCATCGAACGTGGACAGTTTGTTACGAAACGTCACGTGACGACTCGTCTGAACGGCTCCTGAACGCTGATTTAAACTTTAAATCTCATCTTTGAATCACAGAATCTGTTTCTGAATCCATGGATTGACAGAAAATAAGACTTCAGCTCCAATAAGGAGCTAAAACTTGTAGACGTGCAGCTGGATGTTGAAGCGCTTGTTTTCTGTTGCAGATAAAATCCAGGAGGCACAGAAGGAGCTCAAAGAGCCTGAAGCTTCTCAGACAGGTAAAGAAAAGACTTTATTTTTTAACTAACGAGTCGTGGAGACATGAACAGATTTTGCTGTGGTTCAGAAACTTGATTCTGGTTTACCTGAGATTTTATTCACCTGCAGGTCATCAAGGCGGCAGGTAGAGCTGTGAAATAAATCAGACTCACCTGGTTTAATTCAAAACAATAAATATTAAATGCTAACAGGGCAGTCTTTTCTAAAACCTGATAGACACCTTTTTCCCACAATGCTTCAGTGTGAAGTGATACTTTGAAGTAATAGTAAATATCCTACCTGTTGTAGTCCTGTTGTATCGTGGTTTGTCCTCCCAGTGTGTTCCACAGGAAGTGCTGCCGCTGCTTGAAGCCGACGCTGATGCAGCCGTTTAACGATGACAGGAAGTCACTGTGGGCCTGCTCAGACTAGCCATTAGCTCGTCAATCCTGTCAGAATGAAACTACAGGTCCTTCTCAAAAAATTAGCATATTGTGATAAAGGTCATTATTTTCCATAATGTAATGATAAAAATGAAACTTTCATATATTTCAGATTCATTGAACACCAAATGAAATATTTCAGGTCTTTAATTGTTTTAATACTGATGATTATGGCATACAGCTCATGAAAACTCAAAATGCCTGTCCCAAAAAATGAGCATATCATGAAAAGGTTCTCTAAACAAGCTATTAACCTAACCATCTGAATCAACGACGTAACTCTAAACACCTGCAAAAGATTCCTGAGGCTTTTAAAAACTCCCAGCCTTGTTCATTACTCAAAACCTCAATCATGGGTAAGACTGCCGACCTGACTCTGTCCAGAAGGCCATCATTGACACCCTCAAGCAAGAGGGTAAGACACAGAAAGAAACTGCTGAACCAATAGGCTGTTCCCAGAGTGCTGTATCAAGGCACCTCAGTGGGAAGTCTGTGGGAAGGGAAAAGTGTGGCAGAAAACGCTGCACAACGAGAAGAGGTGACCGGACCCTGAGGAGGATTGTGGAGAAGGGCCGATTCCAGACCTTGGGGGACCTGCGGAAGCAGTGGACTGAGTCTGGAGTAGAAACATCCAGAGCCACCGTGCACAGGCGTGTGCAGGAAATGGGCTACAGGTGCCACATTCCCCAGGTCAAGACACTTTTGAACAAGAGACTGCGTCAGAAGCATCTCGCCTGGGACTGCTGCTGAGTGGTCCAAAGTTATGTTCTCTGATTACAGTAAATTTTGCATTTCCTTTGGAAATCAAGGTCCCAGAGTCTGGAGGAAGAGAGGAGACACAGAGTTCACATTGCTTGAGGTCCAGTGTCAAGTTTCCACAGTCACTGGGGTGTCATGTCATCTGCTGGTGTTGGTCCACTGTGTTTTATCAAGGGCAGGGTCAATGCAGCAGCCATCAGGAGATTTTGGAGCACTTCATGCTTCCATCTGCTGAAAAGCTTTATGGAGATGAAGATTTCATTTTTCAGCACGACCTGGCACCTGCTCACAGAGCCAAAACCACTGGTAACTGGTTTACTGACCATGGTATTACTGTGCTCAATTGGCCTGCCAACTCTCCTGACCTGAACCCCATAGAGAACCTGTGGGATATTGTGAAGAGAAAGTTGAGAGACCAAGACCCAACACTCTGGATGAGCTTAAGGCCGCTATCGAAGCATCCTGGGCCTCCAGAACACCTCAGCAGTGCCACAGGCTGATTGCCTCCATGCCACGCCGCATTGAAGCAGTCATTCATGCAAAAGGATTCCCGACCAAGTATTGAGTGCATAACTGAACATGATTATTTGAAGGTTGGTGTTTTTTGTATTAAAAACACTTGTCTTTCATTGGTGGGATGAAATATGCTCATTTTTTGGGACAGGCATTTTGGGTTTTCATGAGCTGTATGCCATAATCATCAGTATTAAAACAATTAAAGACCTGAAATATTTCAGTTGGTGTGCAATGAATCTGAAATATATGAAAGTTTCATTTTTATCATTACATTATGGAAAATAAGGACCTTTATCACAATATGCTCATTTTTTTAGAAGGACCTGTACGTCTTCAATCAGATTATGTTGTTGCTGTTGTTGAGGATGATGATGATGATGAAGTCCCTGAGGGATCTGAACAGTGAATGTTTGTAGTTTTACAGATGAGTGTTTTTCTGCACTAGAACTGAACAGGGAAATAAAGTAAACCAAAATGTTTTTGGTGTTCAAGTGGGGAGGAGTTACACCGTGGAGAAGAACAGAGTGTTTTTATTTTTATTTATTTCTTGTCTGAGGCCACAGAGGAAAAACTCCCTTTAACAGGAAGAAACCTCCAGCAGCACCAGCTCAGGACGAGCGAACATCTGCTTCAGCTGGCTGGTTGGAGAGGACAGGAAGTAGAGACACACACAGAATGACAGGTCCAGGTGAACTTTCTATAGTCCAGGTGAACTTTCTGTAGTCCAGGTGAACTTTCTATGTCCAGGTGTACTTTCTATGTCCAGGTGTACTTCCTATAGTCCAGGTGTACTTTCTATAGTCCAGGTGAACTTTCTATAGTCCAGGTGAACTTTCTGTAGTCCAGGTGAACTTTCT